GTAATCACACAGTAGATTGCAGCAGGCCATTAGTTTAGAAAATAATCTGTTCATACAGTTGGGCATCCTGGGCCAACTTTCCTGTGCATTCAGGGTGATAAATGATATATCCCAGCTAAAACTTCTGCTTAGCTCCTTTACATCCACGGGTTTAAGGACGCCAGCACTCTCATTTGAATTCTGGCCCTACCACTCCTGCAGAGGCAAAAACTCAAGCTTTCAGCGAGGTGGAATCTTAAAATTAAACATATTAGAGCCCTTCTGGGAGCTGAGAAGAGGTTAAACTGCCTACACAGATACAGCCACTGCTAAGCAGCTCCACTACCAGTGTGGTCACTGTGCTGTGACCTAAATTTAATTAAGAGGTACTTCTACAGGGACAAAAAGACTTCTGAGGTAATGCACTGTTAAAAGGGCACAGAGCCAGATATTGGCAGTGGTGCTGTGCCTTATTCCAAACTTCAGACTCATCTCCTCTTAGCAGCTGTGGAGTGTCACTTGTGCACACAGCACAGCCAGAAGGGCTCTAAAGGAGTTCTCTGAGTAGTTTGGAGAAAGCCAGGCCAGTTTAGGATGCCATCCCTGACAGAACACACAGCTCTCACAAACCAGTGAAGCAGAAAGCCCAGCTCCTGTACAAAGGTGTTTAACATCTTCCAAACAGCCACTTTGACAGGGATGGCCACTCACTGTGGGAGGTTCTGTGTCTTGGTTCTAGGCCAAGGTTAAAATTCATCCCTGGAATAAATGGTGCTGTGGAAATTCAACAGCTGGTCAGCCACAAGCTGAACAAGTCAAGCCCGTTGCTTTTCCTGTGCCAGGATATTGTGCCCTGTGCCACCCAGCACCTTTTCTGTGTGCTTCCTAAAATAGCTGTGCTGGGACCAGGCACTTGCCAAGTGAAAGGATACTCCTGGATCAACACACTCTTCATGGATTATTGGGAAATTGTCTCTCACTCAAACATTGTACTCCAATTTCAGGTGGTAATAAAAATAAAGAAGTGTCCTAAACCCCCCTGGATAAACATACCTGTAGTCTGGGATCCAGCAGCACTACTACATCTAGCATAAACCCCACAACATCCTACTACTAGATTTTAAAATCTGAGTTTAGGACTGAGTATTTATTGCCTGAATCCATGAAATTCAGCTGGAGGCCTTGCCATGGATATGAAGTCAGAGCCTTCCAGCACTTCCTCGCTTTTACCCGAGTGTCAGAACATGCAGAAGTACAAGAGATTATACAGATAATTTACACTAAAATCAGGGTAGCACTTGCTTTATAAAAGCTGCAGTAAGTTCTCTGGAGAACAAAGCCTGCCTTTATCTGGGCAAACAGCACTTGCAGCAATATAAACATCTTCTCAGGTAGCTCCTAATCTGACAGGGGATTACAGGAGCTGCAACCACTCATGATTTGCTTTGTTTTGCTATTCCCTGACTACAGTTATTACCTCTGAGTTACTATACAAAATGCACAGCAATTCATAAATGATTGATGGCTGTGGTAAGCTTTGCAGAGCAAAACACCAAACTGAATTACGCTGCTGATTTTTTAAAAGAGCAAAGAAAATTCCTGCGACTGCCGCGATCCCTCTGAATCGTTTGAACGTTGGAAATTTATTCTCAGTGGCCCGAAGAGTCCCAGATATTAATGAAAGCCAGGAATTGTTTAATACCTCCACATCTATAACTGACTCCTGTGTCATGCCTGGAGATGAAAGTTCTTGTTCATGAACAGCACACATGGAACTAAATGGATATTTTGGAATGCCTGGATCCCAGCAGGGAACACACGGAACTATAAAACAATTAAACATGGCCATGAATATGCACCATATTTACAATATACACACAGTTTAGGATTCAACATCCCTGGAAGCAACAGCTTCAGGGGAGGAGGCTGGGAAAGGGGGCAGCTCCTGCGATGGGGGAAGTTCATTCCAGCTTTTTCAAGTCATTCATTCACTGTAGAGAAGAAAAATCACTGTAGCAGAGGTGAAAACATGCATGGTACCAAAGTTCCTGCTATCAGGTAGAAAGAACATTTATTACAGGAAAGGAAATCAAAAACCAAAATGAGTTAAACAAGTTTAACAAGACTGAGTTTACTGGTTACTAAAACTAGCCTTGAATTCCACCACTAGAGTGTTGTTTTAGCCTCTCCCTGAGGCTTCACCTCCTTTGGAAATACGTTCTTGCAACTGAATCTGAAAATAAAGAGATGAAAGCTCTAATGGAGAATGGGTTGGTGACATTTCCTGGGGCTGACAGGGCAGAAAGCATCAGAGGAACAAGGCAGGCACACAAAGCCTCCCAATTAACTGAGCACAGGAATAATTGCAAGACCAAAGGCACAGAGGAGTCTGGGCCGTGCCTTTTCCCTTTTCCAGCGAGCCAAATGAAAGCTGGCTCAGAAGAAATAATGACAGAACCGTGGAGCAATTTTGCAAAGAAGAGTTGCTAGGAACGAATAGAACTTCAAAAGATAAAATAAAATTAAAAAAAAAAATCCCTCATCATTATAGGAATGAGAAGAAAGACTGTTAGGTCAGTAGGAGTGTCTAGAGTTGTGTGGAAGCAAAGGGAAAATATGGACACAGAGCTAATAAAGGCAACTAATCAAGAACTGATGGTTTCAAAGAGCTTCTTTCCCATTCAGTTACAATCTTCAGGCCAACAACATCATCTTTATGAGATCACTACAAACTCCAGGCTTGGTCCATGAGGAATTCAGCTGAAAAAACTTTGAATAGTGATCCTTTAAAACTCCAAATAACAATCCTTTAAAACAGCCTTTATATAATGAATACACTCTACATATACAATTTTAAAAGTTATTTTTCTGTTTTGAAACTTGTTTTTTGTTTGTTTGTTTGGGGTTTTTTTCAGTGTAGGTTTTTTTCTTAAGTGTTATTCTTTTTCTTTGAGTTCTTACTTTTTGTTTGAGGGGGTTTTGGGGGGGGTGCAAATGAGGGATAAGAGGTTGTGCTGAGGTTATAAAGAGCTCCTGAGCTGAGGGTGGGGATTGTATTAAGGTAACTCAGAGCACCTGGGTAGTGTGGGCTGGGCTTAAACTGAGTTTAAGGTGCATCATACTGAGTTTAAACTGCATTTTAGGTGAGACTAAGGGGAGAGTCACCTCAAAAAAAAGGCTGTTAAGGTAGGAAAGTGTTTTTATTATAAGTAATTCTTAGTAGGGTTGTGTGTGTGTGTGTTGGTGGTGCTTGTGTCTTTAGTCTTTTGGCTTGTTCATTTTTTTTATTATATCACTTCTGTTTTCTTTTTAAATCTGAGATAGGGGCTTGTTTTTGTAGGAAAACAAAAGCTCTAGTTGCTTGAGGGCTAGTGGGGATTTTGTACCATCACCTGGGCAAAAAAGGTGGATAAACAAAAGGCTCCTGCCTGGGTTTACAAAACTGGCAGCAGTTGCTCACTTTGTCAATCTAAAACTGGGGGTTTTGTTTAGTGGGAAATATTCCTGTTCCCTGGGAGGAGATGGGTCAGTTCTGATGGAGGGGAAAAAAAAGCAAATACCTCAAAGTGAATTGAATCCAGTATGAGAGAGGAAAACTGCAGGTGCCAGTAAAGATTATGGACTGGGGCTATGTGATGATATTGAGAATTAATAATGCAAAGTCAGGCAGGAGAGCGAAAGAGAGGAGGCTCTTCTTGTCCAGGAAAGAAAAGAAGTGCTCTGTTGCTCTTGTAGTTCTGTCAGATAAAAGTCAGGGTATGTTTCTTGAGATAAAATTCAGGATATGTTTCCTGTTGGTGATTTTCATCCATTTCAGTGCAACTGAGGAAAAAATTCTTTACTTGGTATAAATACAGACAGAGCATAACCTGCAAAGGAGAAAAAATAGGTAGTTCTCATGTTCTCTCACTTCTGGAGGTGGAATTTAATGTAGAAACTCGGGAAAGAGGGTTGGAGAGAGTGAAATTTCATCAGACTGAAGTGAGTTACTCTCTTGTATAATGAGTTTGGGTGCAGAGAGCACTGTCCTGAGGCTGGACAGTGAAGTGTGACCTTATCTGAGACAGGGGGTAGGACACTAAAACTGGCACTGAGGGGTGGGAAAAGTGTGTTCCGAGCATTTTTAGAGACAGCAGCTCCTCAAAACCTGATTCTTGCCATTCTGTGATCTCAACCTGTTAAAACCAGGCTTTAGCTCCCACTTGGGTCGAGAAGTAAAATTTGCAAGATAACTTTACTTATTTTGGCTCTTTAAGTTCCAGAGTCAACAAGTCTCTGTGTGAAAGAGCTTGTAAAGTGGATTTTCTGTGTGTGCTCTTAAGACACAATTAGACAGATAGTCCTGGGGCTGAGATCAAAGGTTTTGCCATGACAGTAACTCCCCCTGTTCTCTGTGTAGGCCATAATTGAGGCTTCTTTGGTGCAAGTTGAAAGTCCTTTTTGTTCTGATGGCAAAACATGCATTAAAATAATGTGTAGCTGTCAGAAACCTAATAATTCTGTAAATCTCAGGTATTTGTGCTAATCAAGCAGCATAACAGAGCCCTGTGCACCGTGAGCAATTTCTCTGGTGGGGAAGAGGCAACAGACATCTCAAAAATGGACTTTGCATTGAATTAACATATGCTGGGCAAGCCATACATCAAGCTGTAAAATCAATACAGCTTCTAAGACAAAGAGCTTGGACCATTATGCAGTTTTAGCCAGCAAAGAAAATGAAATTTCATCTCAGGAGTGCACCTAATTTGGCTAATGCGTTTAAATCTGCAAAATATTGCCTACATTTATTGGGCAGAAACTGCTTTAATTGGAAGGTGCGTTCTCAGCTGTCAGGAATTGAAAAGTGCATTAAAATAACAGGTTGGGAGAGATGAAGCTTTTGTGGAACCGAGAGGTGACTTTATGCCAATAAATGAGTTCTGTGCTGATTTGTCCCCCCCCCCCTTTTTTATTTCTTTTCAGCTGTCACTGCAGGGTGTGAGGTTTCTTGGGCTGTTTGTTGAAAGCAATACTCTGCAGCTTCTTCACCAGCTCTTGATGGGGTGAGAGGAGCGACTGTCAAAGGGGTGGTTTGGTCTGCAGGACACTTGCTGTGGAAGGAGGTAAGATAAATGCTGGGAGTGGGTGTTTCCGTGGGGCAGGAGGTGCTTTTATTGGAGGTTGTTTTGCTTCCATCAGCAGTGAATTCCTAGGAGCCAGCTGAATGCAGAGGTCGTGCTGTAATGTATGTAAATATATCCAAGAACCCCTCGGTCTCCTCAGAAGTTTTATCTCCTTGCTCACACTCAGGGAGCTGCTGGAGAGGGAGGAAGCACAAAGGAAAGTCCTGTTGCTAATGGAACACATCACCTCTAAGTATTTATCTCCTGATAGCACTGAGGGCTGGAGCTCAGTGAGAAGGGGGTTTATGAAGCAGCTAATTAGTCTTTGCTCAGGGAAACCAGGCACAGTGTTGGCCCTTCAAGAAGGTGGTGGTTGAAGAGCTCAGTGACTGTAGCAGTTAATAGGAGAACTGTATTTTCAGCCAAGGAACTCACTGATTAAGTTGCACTGGGGGTCAGGATAAGTGCTGTGCTATTGAGAGAAGAATTAAACCAGATGTAAAGGTGTGCACTGACTGTTCCGACCCCCAGAAATAAAATGGAATTACCTGGCTTTGTCTGAAATGGGTTAGTTTAGTGGTGATGAGAATGTAGCAGGATTTGTGATAATCTACAGATTGTCAGGTTTTGCATGTGGCAGATTTTGTGTTTGAGTCTTTGGCCTCTCCTGTTTACTTAAAAACAACTTGCTGCTTAGTTTTTTGTTGCTGTATTATTTATTTAACATCTTTTACTGCCGACTTGGAGCTCTGCTTTCAGCTCCAGTGCAGGCAATGAGACAGAGCTCTTTCTTCCAGCTCAGGAGTTTTTGGTTGGGTTGCTCTTCCTTCTTAATTCCTCCTCCCCTCTTGTCAGGCCCGAGCTGAGTGTTCCACGTAAATGCAGTCAGAAGTGGTGAGCCTGCTCTTCCAAACTCTCCAGGCTGTCTGCATTGTTTTTAGAAGTTATAAATTGGGAAACTTCCAAATGCTTGGCATAACAATGTATTCCTGGGTGTGTGATAAGCTTGTGCCCTTGCTTTTCCGTTTACAGTTTGAATACAGATTAGTCAGCTTTTAATGGGGCTTTAATGAAGTCCTGAGCCTTTGGAGAACTTGAGAGACAGGCTGCATGTAATTTTTGGCTCCCTCTGTGACTGAAACTTTGCAGACTGGAATGGAGGTTTGGAAGAGCAGGATGCAGATGTTGGCTCCCCAGGGCAACAGCTGGTACCTCAAAATCATCTGTCACACTGGGGGCATCCAATGTTTGGGACTCACACAACTCTGGGAGCCTTTTGAGCCTTTAAAAAGGCTCAAAACAAGACTTCAGAGGGTTCCTTTAATAGCTTTCCCTCGACCTTTCAAGTGCCCCCTTAGGGGTCAGAATCCAAGTTACTCGATTTTAGAAACCAAATTTTGCTTAAAGCCCTTTAAGCAACAGTAAATAAGTGTGTTCATATAGCAGAATAACAACTGTGAAGGAAATTATTTCATTGAGATGAAAGTTGCACGAAAGTGTGGCATTTATTGTCAAATTTGAATTGGCCTTTGAAGGACATGAATTAGAGGTGTAGACCTACATTTTCTCCTTGAAGGCACTTGATAAGTAAATGCACATAACTGTGGGGGCTCTATACCTTAAGTTTGAGTAAATGCAGTGTATACTTTGTTCATCTCTGAATAGTAATTGAGTCCTGGACTGCATTTATAGTGCTGAGAGTAATACAACTACCATGATGTATAATAATGCTTAAGAGCTCCAGGGAGGCTCATTTACATGATAGCCAGGGAAATGGGCTTGCCAGGAATACGAATTAAGAGCCTGGTATTGTGTGAGTTACAGAATGGTTTTCAGGTGGGAAAATCTGAGTGAACTCAAGTTATGGGAAAGGAGTGTAAAAAAGGCATTTAAAATGACTGTTAGAAAGATGTGTTGGCTTTTATTTCTCCTTTGACTGAGAATAAGAGGAAGTCTCTTTCTCTGGAGGTGCTTTGAAGAGGCATTACATCAGCCTTTAGAGAACTGAGTGCCTGTTCTGTTTGTAAAGATCCTGACCATATCCAGTTTTACTGGAGAGAGACCCAGGCACACACCTCCAGTGGGAAATCCAAGGCTTTCAAACTCTGCAGTCAGCTGGGAAGGAGGGATTTTGCTTAATGAGTTTGCATTGTGTAGGCACAACTTTGGTTTGTGCTCATTCATCAGTTGGGTGTCTGATTTCTTTTGATAAAAATGAAGAGTTTGAGCCTCTTCCTGGTTTTGATTTGGTGATAAAGAACTTGGTGGTCTTCCCAGGCTCCTTGGTAGTTTGCAGGGCTTTTGCTCAAGGTGGTGTCAGGTGGGTGATGGCAGAAAGGCAGATGGGAGGAATAAGACTCACAGATATTCAGTGACTGACATGAAATACAGCATAAAATGCACTGTCTGTCCTTTTGCTTCAGAAGGGAGTCACTACCTGAATAAGCTCATCTGTTTTGTGCTGGCAAGAAAAGCTTTTCCTGAAACTCATTGGAAAAACTTGGTGGGTTGGACTGGCAGTGAAAGCAGCTCCTTGGGGAGGAAGGATCCCTTGTAGAATAAAAGGCAGAGAGTCAAGATGGATACAACAGTTCCTCTTGAAATGAAGGTGTTTGCTTCTTGTTATTTGATGGGTATATAAAAAAAATGAACAGGTCTGATAGTCCCCACACTGCCATTGAGATACTGTGAATTTATAACCACTTGTCACCTAAAATGTTGAATGAAGTGCAGAGGGTGAGAGCTGGTTTTCTTTCCAAGTGCTCCCAAGCTTCATTTTAAACTGGGGACTCAGGGTGGGCATTTACAAATGCCACTTTTCCATGGCTCCCTGTGTAATGGGAGACAAGCTCCTTTGGGAAATGATTTGCATCAGTCCTGACTGCAGATTGCAGCAATGGGCTTCCTTAGCTGGAATTGGCCTCTGAAAGCTCCCAGAGGTGCCTGGTCCATCATAATCATAAAGATCCTGTGCAGGAGATGCTGCTGGAAAGATAAGTGTTGCTCTGTCATAAAGCTGATGTGAGTGCATCTGGGTGTCTGGGGGGAATGCACTGGCTGAGCATAAAGCAACTGGGTGGTTTTCCCACCCTGGAAAGATTTCAGCTTTTACAGCTGCACTCTCCTTGTTTATAAAATATATTGATCCAGCAGCATCATCATCCTGAGCTGTGACCTGTGTCATTAAGCAGCAGCTGGGAGGTGCTGTAGCAAGGCAGTGACTCCTGTGGGTACAGGCAGAGGCAGGAATTGTCATCTGGCCTGAGAAGCTGATTCAGAGGTTTCTGTGGATGTGTCATGATGACAGGACACCATGTGCTTTAACCAGGGCCACCTGCATTTAAACTTTCACGGGTGTTTTACCTTTAAGAACCCCCAAATTTTCCATTATCAGCATGCATTTGCTACTGAGGGGAAGCAATATTTCATTCCTAGTGGCTGGATGCTGATGGGACCCTGCCTGAGCTGGTGCTGGAAGAAGAAACAATGATGATGCCTTGCAGCAACTCTGAGTGGTTTCTGGAGGGACATTTGTGTTTCCATGTGCTTCAGTATGGCCAAAATGAAATGACATGTAGCTGGGTCTTGGGTTCTTCATCTTATTTTTCTTATCTCTAAGAGAACAGAGCCATTCGAAGCAGGAGGGTTTCTGGGCTGAATTAGGTACTTTGGCCTATTTAAAAAAAAAAAAAAGGGAGTTTTTCTAGAGCCTGGAAATCAGCAGAGGTCAGATTTAACAGGACTGCACAGTGTACCTTTGTAGCCTGTACTGAGAGCAGCATCAGTGGCTGTAACACCCTGCCAGGCCACTGGCACTGCTGGCCCTGGCATGTGCTGTGGCACGTGGGAATGCCTGCAATGGTGCCCACAAAGGGCAGCAAACAGGAGGCTCCCTGGGAGGTGGGAATGTGGAAGGTCTGCCAGGCTGACAAGTGACTGCTGAGGTGAATAAAACCACCCAGGTGATGTTGTGCAGAAATAATTTCATTTAACTTGGGTTCCCACGTCGGGTGCAGTGGGGGCTGTTCCCACAGCAGCCCTGGGCTCCTGGGAATTAGGATGTCAGTTTTAAGCTGGGCAGAAATCTCGAACATCCCCAGCAGAGACATCCAGGCAGCCTTATTCCTTTCTTCTTGGGATTTGTGGTGTGCTGGGAAGTTGGCTGGGAGACCCAGTGCTGCTGTGGCAGCCAGTCCCTGGAATGGGCTCTGATGTCAGGCTGTGGTGGATGGAGGGGCTAAAATAAAATATCTCTTCCAGCTGGCAAGTGCCTGAATAAACCAATCCCTTTGAAAGTGAATAGCAGTCACCAAGATTGCCTTCCTACTGTACCTTAATTGGGTTGTACAAGCAACCCATAATTTGCAATGTGTTTCCCTGCTTGGGTTCTTTGTCTTTCAGCTCCCTTTTGTGTATCTCTTCTGCAGCTGTAATGTGCTGTGATGGTTTAGATCCCTTCCTGTGACCTCATCTCATGATAGATAAATTCCTACAAAGGTTTGCATGAGATGAAACAGAAATTACATCCCTCTGTGTGAACACGGCCTTTCCTTAATTGTAACTAATTTGTGGTTAAGGCTACAAGAGAATTGGAATTTTCTGAAAATAACATTAAGGGGTAGAGAGCTTTGTGTGAACATACCCTGCAATAATTATGTGTGAATGCCGTAGAAGGGCTAGAGAAGTTTTCTGCAGACTGTGTGTGGCCTTTAGATTTGGGTAGTGATCTTCATATGGCCTCAGCATCAAAAGGGAGTAAAAAAAGGTCAAGTTGATTATTTTTGAGGGAATGTCAATTCTCTGCTGTGCTGGAGCACATTTGACTTGAGCCAAGGTTTCTCTTTGGGACCTTGTATATTCTCATTTTAGATCTGAAAGAACTAATTGATGAACTATTTACTGGGCACAGGGACTGGGCTTGCAGAACATTGTCCACTACATGCTGAAACACCTTCTCCCAAAATATGTAATATAGTGATGGTTCCTTGCAAGAACAAAAC